CCTTAAAATAAAGCTATTTTTTTTTCATCGCAATCGAAGTGTTAGATCTAGAATCTAGTTCCCGCCTCCGCTTCGCTAATTCGACTTAATGTAACTATGACACAACTATTAAATCTAGAGTCTCTATTTTAATTAAATAATTAGGAATTCTATCTCTAGATGATATCTAATCTATTCCCACACGTGTGTGCAAGTAGGATTTAACGTCAGAACAGGTGTGGTGGTCTAGGCGTCGCTATTTTTGACGGTAGGAATTTTTTTTTTAAATTCGTAAAATTTTATATAGACTTTATATAGCAATTTACTAAGACCGACCCTAACGCCCAGTAAATATTTAATTACCACATTGTTATGGACACGGTGTATTAGGTAGGGCCGAGGGCTATCCATAGGTACCAATTTTTAAATTTTGTGACAATTAGGAGCCGAGTTATAAAATAAATTTAAAATACTGGTTCTGGTCTTAGACTTTATATAGCAATTTACTAAGACCGACCTTAATACCCATTAATTATTTAATTAGCGCATAGTTATGGACATCCTGTATTAGGTTGGGCCCAGGGCTATCCGTAGGTACCAAGTTTATAATTTTGTGACGATTATTAGTCGAGTTATAAAATAAATAAAAAAAACTGGTTCTGGTTTGCACTACATTTCTTTCTTCTTTAACGGCGGACTCCCGGTCCAGCCCCATGGGTTACCCGTGAGCCGGGGCCTCGTTAGCCTGGACGGCTCCGATGTGACCGCGGATTGTTGTGGCCCGCCTCAGCCCGAGTCGAGATCACCCTTCCGATCGAAGGTGGACGCCATAGGGCGCCCGGGATAGCCCGGGGCGCTGTTCGTCACCCGAGCGCAGGGGCGCCGGGAGACGCCCCCGGTGAAGTTTGGCGGGTGATTCTGGTAGAGCTCCCCACCCCGATCGCAGGACACCCCTCGCCGCCCGCCCAGGTGTCGAGGTGGCCGCGGGGGAACTCGGGGCGTTTTGGCTCCCCCTTGTGCCGGAGCGGCGCCCTCGGTCCCAGAACGCCCCTGGCGGGTGATTCGCATGCCCCCTGGGGTGGGGAACGCGGGTGGGTGGTCGTAAAGCGTGTAACCGCAGTGGGGGCGGCCCCTTAGTCGGGGGCGCCAAAGTTGGCACCCCACCTGGGGCGCCCCCCGGAAGTGTGGCGCCCGCGCGAGTGAGCCCCGTAGATGCGCCCCGACACCCCCGCGCCGCCCCCCGGGTCGCGGCACCCCCGGCGCCCTCCGTGCGGGCTCCCCTCATGGGGCGGCACCCCGGTCCTCCCCGAGACTATGTACCCGATTTTTCGGTTTAACACTAGAGGTATGGGCAGAAATACGGCGGTTAAAACGGTCTGTATCTACTATTGTGGAGGTGAGTGTCGGTGAAGCCTCTATGTGACGCTAGGATCCGCGCTCCCTCGCAGCCAGCGACATGTGCCCGATCTGACCGTGCGTGGCTCAGTCTCCCGACTAGCTTCCCGGTAAAATGCGGGCTCGGCGCGCAGGTCGCGCCAGTGAAGGTAAAAGTACGTGTCCGTAGCGTGAAGCCAGCGGCGACGCGCAGTGCTAACGCAACCAAGCAGTATTGGTGGCTCGATAAAAGTCTCGCACTGGCCCAGCCCTCGGAACGGGCGACGGGTCTGCAAAACGCAGTCGGCTCGATGCAAATCGAGAGATTTCCCGGCGACGCCGTGTTTACGGTGAAGGGGGAAATGTGAGCGGTCCGATGTGAAAAAATCCGGGAATGCCGGGATCCGTTCTCTCGCTAGAGCGTTGTCTCCCGTCCCGCGATGTGTTGTGGAAAAACGTCTCGCAAACGATAGCTATCTGGTTGATCCTGCCAGTAGTCATATGCTTGTCTCAAAGATTAAGCCATGCATGTCTAAGTTCACACTGTCCCATGGTGAAACCGCGAATGGCTCATTAAATCAGTCGAGGTTCCTTAGATGACACGATCCTACTTGGATAACTGTGGCAATTCTAGAGCTAATACATGCAATCGAAGCTCCGACCTTTATCGGGAAGAGCGCTTTTATTAGTTCAAAACCAATCGGCGCGGCCTCGCAAGGGGTTGCGTCGTCCCATTTGGTGACTCTGGATAACTTTGTGCTGATCGCATGGCCTCGCGCCGGCGACGCATCTTTCAAATGTCTGCCCTATCAAATGTCGATGGTACGTGATATGCCTACCATGTTTGTAACGGGTAACGGGGAATCAGGGTTCGATTCCGGAGAGGGAGCATGAGAAACGGCTACCACATCCAAGGAAGGCAGCAGGCGCGCAACTTACCCACTCCCGGCACGGGGAGGTAGTGACGAAAAATAACAATACGGGACTCTTTCGAGGCCCCGTAATTGGAATGAGTACACTTTAAACCCTTTAACGAGGATCTATTGGAGGGCAAGTCTGGTGCCAGCAGCCGCGGTAATTCCAGCTCCAATAGCGTATATTAAAGTTGTTGCAGTTAAAAAGCTCGTAGTTGGATCTCAGGCGCAGG